TTTAAATACCACTCTTATTCAGATTAACTAAACTCAATATTGGCAACTGATACGAGTAAATACTAAGATCTATGCATTGCAGTAGCAGCAGATGCATCTATGAATCATTATTTAGCCACTCCTTAGAGCTGTAGCCTCCAGGTGTATAGACACATAGTCAGCTATTACACAGGAATAAGAGCAATAAGGCAAACAAGACAGATGGTCTATTGAGTTTCCTGCTTGATGCCTTTCACATGACCAAGAGAAAAAGAAAAGCAAGATAGCGATGGAAAGATAGGACAAGAGAGAGCTGCTAAACCCATGTAATGTTCTCTTGAGCTGATTCAGTTATGCCCGTGAAGTAAATTCAATCAGCTATGCATGAGAAAACTAAGAATGGAAGAGCAGAGAAAAAACAAAGCAAGATAAAGATTTCTCTATGTATGGGATGTAATCAGGGAAAGGTTAACATAATGATAAGAGTTTAAAAGACAGCACAAAACAAGTCAAAAGGCACCAACAGCACAAAGAATCAAGTGTTACAAAGTTGGAGCAAATTGGCAAAATAGAAGTTAGAAAATGGAGCCAAAATCATCAGTGAAATCCCGAAGACCACAAAGAGCTCACAGTACTATCTTAAAATATAGCACAAACGAAATAACGTCTAAACTGTCTGGTTAAAGAAATGAAAAATGGATTCAACCTACAAATACCTTCAGGTAAATAATCAGATGGATCAAATCAGAGAACTTAGAGAAGCATCGATGCCGAGCTGCTTCTCATTTGTATAACTTTGAATTCCTCAGTTGTTTCTCTTTTAATTTGACACACCCTTAAGCACACTGGTGAAAACATAACATGTTAAACTGCTCCTTGTGATGCAGCTGTGGGGTCTGGTGGTTGAGCTGCGCGAGGGGCTCCAGGCGGCGCTGGGGGAGCTGTGCGAGCTGCGTCAAAAGGACCACGGTTTGGAAGAGAAGCTCCAGGCCCATCAGACTGATGTGGATGATAAGATAATGGGCCTCAAGAACACGCTCAACACATTTAAGGTGCTGGAGAAGCCAGACAGTAAAAACACACACATACACAGTCTACTCTTGGTGTGGCCTCTGAAACATAATTTAGAACATCTGACTTGGACTCTGTTGAACTGTAAACTAATTTAATTAGGCAGGAAGGCAACTCTTTCAGACTCTCACACTTCTTTTCGACAGGCAGTTCAATGTTGCTAATATTTTTTTTAATGTGCATGCATACGAGAAATTCTCTCTCCCCTTAAAATCTGACCCTGGTACTTCCCATTTCAGCATAGTGACTTTCCCAGTCTACCAAAGTAAAACTACTGGCACCTTTTAATCTTCTTGCAGGAGGAGCTGAATGTGGCGTTGTTCCACATCAGGGACATTTCGAGCAGACAAAGAGATGTTCAGAAGAGGATAGAACTGCTGCACTCAGAAAACAAAGATATGATGTCAGTTCCACACAGGTAGGGCTGCAACATTTTGAAAAAGGTGGTAGTTTTAATAAATGTACACGCATATAAAAATTATTCACAGTAATTATTCAATCATCCCACTCAGCTCCTCCCTCTGGTGACCCAAAAAGTTCAACTTTCATATGTAACTTTGTCAAATAAGCGCTCTTTTTAATTCTCCTTCACCTGTGCTGATCGGGCCATTAGCAGAAAGAGCTCCAAGGCTGATGTGCTGACAGCATCCAGTGATGAACACATCTGTGTGCCCAGCCAATCAGAGCTCAGTGGTATTCAGCACTTTTTCCCCAATACGCAAAGCAGCGTGTCACCGCCGAGGAGCACCACGTCGACTCAGAGTGAGTCTGTGTATTTCAACATTTACTATGCAAAGAGTGTAAGCGAGAAAATGACCGGCTCGTAGAGGCAGTTCGCTCATACTAGTGTTTGTGTGTTGCAGCCTCCACGTCTGAGCAGGACCAGCAAAGATCTTGTCCTGAGACCAATAGTCAGACTGAAATAAGTAAGAAATACACCTGTTTCTGCTGATAAACACACTACTGCGGGTAGTCCACATATCTATGCACGAACCCACTAAACCACAGTCTCTTTTTACATCCTGAATCATGCATTACTTGGTAGTCAGAGGAAGTTTAAAGGCAGAAGTAGGTGGATTTTACCACCTCCAGACAGAACTATGGGTAGGAGTTTCACCACTCTTTTTAATTTAAGCAAAACAAATAAATATAATTGTTAAATTGGGATTTTAGTCAACATACATGACCATATAAAAAGGTGTTTTAAACAGCTTTTGCCTTATGTTTGATGGCAGGTTTTTATAACAGGTGCATATTACAAAAAATATTATACACAGGTAGTAAAAGCCAGCCAGTAAGCTTGGCCCCGTTTGCAGTTGTCTGTCTTTTATGGTTATAGAATAATCCTCTTTATTCTCAGAGTTTAAAGTAGATTGTGTTCTGTATGTGCAGATAAAAGACAGAGAGCAGCCTTGGAGCTGCTGGAGTCTGAGAGGGTTTACGTGTCCCACCTTTCTCTGCTTCTGAAGGCAAACATCTCCTTTAACGGATCAGAAGCCCTCACTTCCAAAGACAAACGGTAAAGCCTGCTGACACCCTAAGATGGCTCGATTCAGACTGATAATTGAAGAAAAAGACATGTAAAGCAGTTTTTTTGGAAAGAAGAAATGTCCCAGCCACCACTAACCGCTACCTGATACACACACAGAGACACACAAATCAACACTCACAAGAATATATTCCTGATCTAATTTGAGTGCTTGCAGTGATGGGTGAACAGGAAATAAACAAATTAAATAAAGGCACATTGTAAACACCAGAGAAGACACTCTGTTAAAGAGACTCCACACAGCTTGTTAATGCAATCACTGCTTAGCTTCAGCACACGTGCTCCCAATGAGTAAGCGCCAGTGAAATGGTGCCATCGCTGAACTGGGTCAAATGTTATTTGTGAATGATTGCATTTGTTTTAAATTGCTTATCCTGCTGTCAGATGTCTGCCACACAAGACGGCACACTAATTGACACAAATGCAGGTTTTCTCACGTTTTGTAGGAATGTTGATGTTTATAACATCTGCTGCCTTTTGTTCTACTTTTAGTCCATTTCCCAGCTCTTTGAGGTTTCTGATCCAGCAGCACCTTGAGCTCCTTCATACTCTTCAAGAACGTGTGCTCAAATGCCAGTGGCAAGGCATCATGGGAGATATATTCATGAGGCTTACAAGTAAAGAGGTAAACACAGAATGAGAGCGCAAAACGAAATGTGACAGCTACGCAAGTGTGGATATTGTCCTTTTTGATGTGAGCACCATCTACTGGTAAATAAAAGGAAAGTCTTTGAATTCTTAACATCTTTTAAACCAGCAGGCAGTGAACGCTACATATGCACTCTCTCCATTTTTCTAATAAGGTGTTGATTCAATATCAGTTATCTGAATCTATCTTTCATGGACTTCCTTTTCAGCTTTCTTAGCCTGCGCAGTTTGTTTTTCTATGCTATGTTTGAAATAATATAGGAATCTTTTAAGTGTATGTAGGCATTTAGAATTGGTCAAGACCTGCAGAAGTTCAAAGAAAGCATCAGACTGGGAAAAAAGGAGATTTATGTGACTTTGTATATAGTATAGTTGTTGGTGCCAGACAGACTGGTCTGAGTATTTCACAAACTGCTGATCTGCTAGGATTTTCCAACACAATCATCTCTAGGGTTTAGAGAAAATATCCAGTGAGCAGCAGTTCTCTGGGTGAAAATGCCTTGTTGATGTCAGAGGTCAGAGGAGAATGGCCAGACTGCTTTGAGTTGATAAGAAGGATATACTAACTTGTTACAATCAAGTTATGGGTCTCTGAATGCGCAACAGCAACTTGAAACAGCAGATGAATATATAGTGGTGGTCTGTCAGTTGAGAATTGGAAAATGAGGCTACAATTCACATGAGAATACCAAAAATAGACAATAGAAGCCTGGAAAAACATTGCCTGGTGTGACGAGTGTCATGGATGTGTGCCGGCAGGCAGGAAAAAGGACCCAATATGCAGACTCCTGGAGGAAGAACTTAAACTCAAAAGTCCACTGCTTTATTGCAGGCAAACATCAAAAACAGAACAAAACTAGGAGGGCTGGAAACTAAACACACAGGCCAGAATGAGGGTACGACGTGACACTAAGCACGGGGAACACGGGGCTTAAATACAAAAGGCAGTAACACAAAAATGAGACACACAAGGGGAGCACGGCTGAGAGCAATCAAACCTGACTGAGGGACACAAAAGAGAATACAATGACCTGAGACACTGACCTTCAAAATAAAACAGGAAACAGACTGGCACAGAACTAAACCCATACTAAACACTAGAAATCAAACCACAAAGAAATTATACAATAATAATACACAAAACGCTGGCTCACTGACCCAGGACCGTCACAGTGAGTCTCAATCGCTGCTGTTTCATTTGGATGCAGGATCAGAATTTTTGGTGAACAATATATATACATGGATCCATCCTTCCTTGAATCAACTGTTCAGGCTGTTGGTAGTCTGGTAATAGTGTGGGGGATATTTGCTTGGCATGCCTTGGGCGATTTAGTACCACATGAGAATTGTTGCTGACCATGTCCACCCTTTTATGACCAATGTACCATCTTCTGATGGCTGCTTTTAGCAGGATAATGCTCCATCCAGTTTACATTATAGATGAGAAGCTGACAAATGTGCAGTAACTGTGAGATGCTGTCATGTCAATACAGACCGAAACATCTGATAAATGGCTCCAGCACCTTGTTGAATATATTCAATGAAGAATTAGGACAGATCTGAAAGCAAAAAAGGGGGTCCATTACTGTCTGGTAACCATTACTAATACAAAAAAAAGCCAAAAAAAAAAAAGCCAAAATACAGACAAACAAAAAACAAAACCCTTAATGAGCAGATGTAAAGCAATAAAAATTTATTACTGAATGTTTAGCTATATTATCGGAGCAAAGACACAGCTGAAAGCCAGAAGCATGTGATGTCGTCATATTAAAGACAACTATGGTCTGCTGGCTGAGTGAGTGGGAGGAAATGCTGTAATTGATTGCAGCCCCCTAAAAGTAACCAACCATAATTGAAAAACAGGGACTTTTGGTGATTCGTGGTGCATTATGGGGCTGCACTTACGGCTGTTTGAAGAAGAAGGAAACTAGCAGCAAAAAGAAACAAAAAGTATGAACAGAAGTTTGTAATCACGAGCTCACATCGTTTTTAACTTTATCTCATTATGTAAAATTATTGCATAGGGTTATTCTGGTTGAATCAAGCTTTTTCTCACCTGGACACAAAAAAGGTGGATTTGATTTTTCAAAAAGTTTCAAAAAATGTATTAAGGACATGATGGCAACCATCTGAGGATACAAACTGTTTACACTAATCTGACAGTGAAGGTTGGAGGTGTAAAATGTGTGATGATGGGTTATAAACTCATTCAAATTCATATATGCAAAGTGCTTATGTCTTTAGTCTCTTAACTTGTGACCGTAGCTTTCAGCCACAAAACGATCCAATCATATGGTTTCCAACCTTCCTTGAGCACCCTTGGCAGGTCTATCCCAATCATTCTCCTG